TTAAACCCGTCGCCTGGGTCCGTCTGTCGGAATGCCACGATATTACGACGTGGCAGTAAAATTCAGCACCCTCCTAAGTGCACTCCACACAGCTGTATCCATAACGGCGTGTCACTTTTCCGCAGGCAACTCCAGAAGTGGCGATACATTTACTGTGCGATGTTCGTACATGTATGTTACATTCATCAACAGTGGCCGTGGGCCGTTTCATTTTCTTTTATACCTCTTACCCTCTTCAACCCCTCTAATAGTTTAAGACAAGGGGCACTTCCCATGAACATTAATAAGTTATAACTTGGATGTAAAATGACGGTCACTATCAATGCACCATGTACTATGCATATGGCAAATGTTGGGAAACGAAAGAGGTAATAATGATAAATTCTTTTGTCGTAGAAGATGCACAGCAATAGGATTTGTCTGTACGTCTCTGAAATAGAAGGAACGAGGGGCACTTCCCGTGAACATTTATAAGTTATAACTAGGATGTAAAATAATGGTCACTATCAATGCACCATGTACTATGCATACAGCAAATGTTGGGAAACGAAAGAGGTAATAATGATAAATTCTTTTGTCGTAGAAGATGCACAGCAATAGGATTTCTCTGTACGTCTCCAAAATACAAGGGACGAGCGGCACTTCCCGTGAACATTTATAAGTAGGATGTATGTAAAATAATGGTCCCTATTAATGCACCATGTACTATGCATACAGCAAATGTTGGGAAACGAAAGAGGTATGGTGAATCCTTTTATTGCAGAAGATGCACAACAATAGGATTTCTCTGTATGTCTCCAAAATACAAGGGGCAAGGGGCACCTCCCGTGAACATTTATAAGTTATAACTAGGATGTAAAATAATGGTCACAGTCTACATACAATGCACCATGTACTATGCATACGGCAAATGTTGGGAAACGAAAGAGGCATGGTGAATCCTTTTATCGTAGAAGATGCACAGCAATAGGATTTCTCTGTACGTCTCCAAAATAGAAGGAACAAGGGGCACTTCCCGTGAACATTTATAAGTTATAACTAGGATGTAAAATAATGGTCACTATTAATGCACCACGTACATGTACTATAATTGCATACGGCAAATGTTGAGAAAGAGGTATGGTAAATCCCTTTATCGTAGGAGATGCACAGCAATAGGATTCCTCTGCATGACTCCAAAATGTAAATACCTTGAGGCAGAGGATCTCTCTCTCTACTTAATATATATATATAGAATTAGGAAGATATGAAAAAATCCCCCACGACCAGAGTTTTTGTCCATTCTGTCCTAATGAGATTGAAGACGAACAAAACTTTATAATAGATTGTCGGCTGTATGATGATAAACACACAAAGCTGTTCCTTTTTTCTTCTTGCTCAACAGAATTTGTTACATTTAATGCTGTAGATAAATTCAATTTCATTCTAGAGGGTAATAACCCTTACTGTGTACAAATAGGTAAATATATCAAAGACTGTTTAGACCTTCAAGTAGTAAATTAAAGTTGATTCATCTATTGTTTTGTACGTAGGCCAATTCTGTTGTATCCACATATATGTCTGTATGTCTACATGTAGTTAAGAACCTTACGAAAGTCGGATGTACTTTTGTTGTGTCAATGAAGTTCTTCTATCATGTCTATAAAACGTTTATATTCCCACCTCTCCCCTAACCCCTTGACGCCTGCATACATGATTACGGGACTTGCGCAGCTGCCGTGCAACTCGTACAGCGACATGGGCCGTCACACAGCCTCGCCCGTGAGGAAAACAGATTATGCGCTTTACCATCACTCCACTTCCACATGCAATAAACCTTAGGCCACACCAAGTAAATTTTATGGATGACGTCCGCGCGCGCATTGATTTTGGCCTGTTCCTAGAAGAAAAAAACCCAAGAAATTCCGCTTCCTGTACAACTATGACCAAAGAGTCACGACAGTGCCACAAATTGTCAGATTGACGTGAAACCCGTAACGCGAAAACAGGACAGGACGACAACTGCTGTTCCACCTGATTTATTGCTGTTTTGATGATGAATAAAAGACTTCTTGCTTGTTACACTGTGTCAACTCATTCAATTTGTGTCCCAACATTTGTCGTCTCTTAGTTTATTTCTAATCTAGGCATCTTGTTTTTCGGGGCCTTTCTTTTTTTTTTTCGTCCCTCTCGCATTAGATTTAGGGTCTCCAAAGGACGTCATCCATAAAATTTACTTGGTGTGGCCTTATCAGCTTTATGTGCAGCTCTAGTCCTCAATGCTAAATGCAGGCAATCACATCGACAGATTGCAAATTGCTTTGCCGGTCTCTGTCCGGCCGTCGACCGCCTTCTTACGTACGTGTGTGTGTGTTAAATCCCCTACATACAGGAGTCCATTAAACGTTATCGTGTGTTGAACGATTTCTTTCCAACTCGGACCAAGTAAGTAATGCACAGCAAGGGTCTGTGGGTGGAGATAAGCTTAAGTGTAGGTTAGGTAAAGAAAAATACTACTTATGTAGTAGGCATTACGCCCAGAGTGCAAAAAGTTCAACGGACGCTATCCTCATGCATCTGTAAGGTCACATGACCAAAGTTACTGGTCATTGGAGCCTGAAGAAGACAGTAGTGTAGACTGCAAAAACAATGATGATAACATAACAGTTATTTATCGATAGTCCACTTTTCAGTCAGCCTATGAGCTACATGTCACCTTTGTATTTCATCAAGATTACTCTCTAAAGCTGGCGTTAGGAAATATTGAAGTCTATGAAAAATCTGTCTTGTGTAGGCAGCGTGTATGAATGCAGAGGTCACGGGTTCGATTCCTAGTAGCAATATTTTTGACATTGTGTCCTTGGAAAAGGCACTTTACATTATCCAGGTTAGGTGCCTAAATATTTCAGTTGGGGAGCAAAAAACTATACAAGGAGAAGGATGGGCTCTTCCTTCCAATAACGTACCCAAGTCACAATGAGTTAAAGGCATCCACTGCAATTTCAGAGCAGCAAAGCTGGAAATATTCTAAAAAGGCAATCTTTATGATATTGGCACATACTGCTTCACATTAGCACATTTCAATCAGTATTTCATACTTTGGGTATTTAAAACTGCAGAAACAAGCCCCGAGATGAGTCCTTTATTTTATGGGTGGTAACTTAAAAATCAGACAAGGCTCTTAAACCATTTTCCGTCAGAATTGTGGGTATTGTCGTGTGGTTTCAATTCGTAAATAAATGGCCAGAATATTGGGCTCTGAAATATTGGGTTTCCATTAAAAACTGCACTGGATGCCTTTAACATCCCACTGCCCCTACGGCCTCTAACTGCAAACCTTGTCCGCAAGGTCTGTGACCGGACATTGTTGGTTAACTCATTTCATGGGATCCTAGGCCCCACTGGATGGGACGCTATATATATATGTACCACAGAAATCAGGTCTATCTATTAGAATGCCACGGACATAACCATAGGATGCAGCTAGCTCTAAGTGCGGATTTGAGGCTGTATCCATAATGGTCATTTCCTCTTGGGACCTCAGGGCAGTAATATAATATTTACTAAGAGGTTATGGAAGAGGTCCCTGCTATGCAATTCTGCGGAATCTGCTGGCAATGATGTTGATGTTGTCAGCTTGTGGGCAATCTTTTTTACCTTCGCCAAGAAGGTTATGTTTTCAGTAGCGTTTGTCTGTGTATGTATTTGTGTGTGGTTTAGCAAGATAACTCAAGAAGCAGTCCACTGTGGATAGATTGGAATGAAACTTGGTTGGTGGGTAGGTCTTCATGAGACCTAGGAATGATTAGATTTTGGGCCCCCTGGCGGCTTTCCTGGGTACTGACCTCATTTGCATAATTTATGAGGAAGTGCTATAATAGCCTTTTTGTTAAGATAAGGCTGTCATTGGGTGGAGAATATGATCAACTGATATAATCCATGAGGCTCTTATTTACAAAATCAATGATTAAAATTGTATAATTCGTCAACCGCAAGGGTTAACATCATTTGGCGAAGGTATGAGATCGGGGAACTCTTGTTTCTGATTTGCCTCTTCTGTGAAGGTCTCAAGCAATCTATCACTTGAGGGTATAATTGTGATCCTAGATATGCATATCTTTATAAAGAATAAATCCATTAATTGTTCTCATCAGGAGGCATAATCTTTCATGTCAACTGTTGAGAATATGCTTGCCATTGGTTCACCTGTTGTACACTTTGAGTCATATGCACCACATAGAAAGCACATTGATATTACATTTACATACATTGTAGTCTACACTGACTGTATATTTCCCACAATTGGCCACTAGTACTGCATGAAAAGTGGTATTTACCAATGACGAAAGACAAAGTGTGTCTTGTAACTGTTTTCTTTAGGCGACAAACGACACCAATATAGACCTCCTATAGCGTATGTATCAATTGCTATAGTATTCGTGAATGCCACTTTTTGTGGTGTGAGCCCCATATATCTAACTCCAGGCATTAGCCATAACGTGACAATATTCCAGGTAAGTCTGTCAGATAAGTCTGGCAATGGATGCATAAACAACAGCGAAGTAAGTCTGATAATGGTTGCCTAAATCTTCAAATCCCAAAATGTAGAATTTGAAGATTAGGCCACAGCAAGTAAATTTTATGGAAGACATCCTCCGCAGACTCCAAATCTAATGCGATAGGGCGGAAAAAAAACAAGGAGGGCCAAAAAACAAAATTCCTACATTTTCAAATTTTGACATCATAAACCTTGCTAAACAAGAAATGATACCTATATTGTGTGTATATCCATTTCTCACTGAAACAACGTTGAAAAGAAAAGTTTTCAATCATTGTACAAATGGTTTTGATTCAGTGGGAACATCACTACACAGCCACCATCACATATTACAGTAATGAAATGCATCACTGCATCAAAGTAAAAGACAAAACAATAAATCAGATCCCTGAAATCTCATAAAGAAACAACTTTTTCACCTCATTTTAGTTAATCTTTAGAAATAAAAAAAAGCAGAACTTACAGTGACCAGCTGCCAGGGATCCACCGACGCAGTCTTTACCACAATTTCCGTCAGCGATGTCCAATTTGCAGAAATCCCCTGGCAGAGAAATGGACACGTCAAATTACAACAGATATGTTACCTCGCAAATGAAGACGAAGGAGGCTATTAGTGACAATTTTCGGGAACCGGTAATCAGTTGGCCCCGTTGGCGTCAGCTTGAGGATTACCAGAAGGCAGGAATTAATGGGTATTAGAGCAGGTTTAATCATGGTTTAGAAGGGGATCTGCAATCAGGAAGAGGTTGCGTACATGATGTTTAATCTTAGCCCACACCAGTCATTCGTCAACTCGGAACAACATCGTCTGGAGCGGTGTACTGGTAAGTGTGTACCAGAAAAATTGATTACAACTAAACTGATTCAGAATGACATTGTAACTTCTACCAACACAGACGAACCTCAAACTATACAATACGATAGTGCAGTTGATTCATCTTGCTATGTATATTAAGTAACAAAAAAACCTAACTCAGATTGAAGGTTTCTAAAGATTTAGTATTACTACCTACATGCTTTGCATTTTCTGAGAACTATGCACCATTTTGACAATGAAATAGTCGACACCAGTACAGTAACATATTTCGTTAAAAAAAATTAAAGACATGCGCTCTAGGAATGAGACAAATGAAAAAGCAGTGAAACGGCCATTTCGGCTGGTAAATAAAGATCAACACTGGACGTTGGCATTTCTACCCCTCAATCGCAAACCACCCAGATTTCACACATAAACCCACTGACCCCTGCACCGCACACTCGGACGTCAGAAACCTTATGCGACTTTCCAGGAATACTAAGACTTGCAGGAACGCACTATTTAAGTGGAATCAAATCAAAAGGTCGAGCATGACCCGAGAGCAGGCCCCACTGGCGTTGCAATCTGCCGGCCCGACGCAGACAACCCCATACCGGCACATGAAAAACGCAACTCGGACGTCCTATAACTTTTTAATGGCCATACGTGTAGGACCTGCCATACATTTTATGTAGTGGGCATAAGTTCACAGTGTTTGTGTTGTAGAGGGGGAGTAACCATGCGAGGTTTAATCCATAGAGAAAGAGAATGTACTTTATCTAACCACCTGCGCCCCATCTATTGGGATATGGTGCATTAATGGTTTTAACCATGGAGGTTATATAGACTTAGTTAACGGTTGTCTGGTGGACTCATATACATGAATTGGCGGTAAGGACTTAGGTTGTTACATTATGAGCACAAAAGCTCTTTATGCTCTCAAAATTCTTGATATTTGTCTAAGTCTAACAAAATTTCACCAAAACGTTAAGGAAAATTGAACAACACTGAAAAAAAATGCCTTTGCGTATGGCGTCGGTCTTTTCTTTCTGTATTCTGCTTTTGAGATGTCTGTTGATATTTCCTATACTCTCCAAGCAGAGGTTGTATGGGGTAAACTGTTGTTGGGGAAAATTGTGTCCTTCTTATCAATTGTCCCGAATATTGGGGAGGGCGGACAAAATAACGGGGAATATGATAAGAAGGTCACAATTTTCCCCAACAACCTCTGCCAGGAGAGTTAAGATTTGCCTGTAAAATGAGGGTTGTATGCGCGGGTAATATTGGGTCAACTGCACGGCAGTCAGTGAAGATGTCATCTGGACGTGATCGGGAAGGGCCTCGGGGCAAAGACGGGAGCAGCCCTACGTCATAATCCTTATGAGAAAAGGCACCGCGGGTCAAACGCCGGATCAGTCAATGAGAAAATAAATGTCGCTTGCTTATTTTCAACCTGATAACACCGGCGCTGCATAGGCCAAGGCCTCAGGCATACTGCATACTGTGTACATACAAATTTGCGTGCTTCTATTATCAGTTGGTAGAAATGAAATGACAGTGTTAACGTAAATATACATATCCTTCTACACAGTGACACTCGGTCACACATTGACATATTGAAAACATCAAAGGTGTACCATTAACATGAAACTTTACATGAGTTGGTAAAATTACATTATGAAAAATTGTTCACCGTACCGGGTGGCAATATCGACTTCCTACGAATTTAGACCCACTGATGAAGTGAATAAAACGTAATCACCGTGATTCGGTTCAAAATTTTGGTAATTCTTTCAGTTGGAGATAAGTTTAAGCAAGGATGTGATGAAAGCTTCTTGGTTTAAGGTTTCTCGTAAAGTCGCACTATATTTGTCAAGAAAAATAATAATGTGGCACCATCTCCACCTAGTACTAAGTATACATTCATTGTACTACTTCCCTTGTCAGGGCTGGAAGTACTGGGTGCATTTACACCTTAGTGCACCCAAATTTGGAGCTGTGCACCCAATTTTTTCCGTGGGTGCACCAGTGTACCCAAAATATTTCCGTAGGTTTACATATGTAAAGATGTTAAATGTATAGTTAGTATATATATATATATATATATATA